TAACAGCTTCAGTTCATTATAAACGCAGAGTTTTTACAATAAGCACCTTAAAGCGCACGTTTCTGTTTCTTAGACGCTCCTGGTTTGTATTAGCATGTTGTACCTTAAAAGCTTAACCAGGACAACATCTACCTATCAGCTATGGCTCTAACTCCTACATACATGGGATCTTTATTAATGTAATAATGTTTACATGCATTACTAATGGAATGAATTATTAATCTAACTATAATATGTGAATAAACCGTGATTCTTACAGGTCTTTGTTTGTCTTTTGTGCATTTTATTTTGAAAGGTTTTGCTGTTGTGGATCTTTGTGAAACTTTGTTCTGGTTCCTCTTTCATCAGAAATGTGTTTTGTTTTGTTAGCTGTCACTTCCTGGCTCCTCAGAGGTATAAAACCATCGTTACGATTACACTCAGAGTTTTTCTTTATGAACTGAAACATTTCTTGTAATTTTAACATCTCAGATGATTTAGTCATTCATACGTTGCTGCGTAGTCTGGATTACCAAAACCAGCATCTCGAGTTTCATCTCCACTGAAATCTCAGTTGCCCCAACAGGGATTTATTACTGAAGCATTAAAAGGACATAACACAGTGTTGATAAAGTTGCACAGAGAGGTAAAATGACAGCTTAATATTATTTGAGGACTTTCAAAAAAGAAGAGAAACCCTGCAGCGTGTTGAAAGGATGCTTCAGCCTAGAAACCGTTAAAAATACTGTTATGAATACATTTATTGTAACTGAATCTCTAACATTAATATTAAAACCACGTCTGAGCTGTTAAACACCTCAGTGAAGCTGTGACAGCCGGCTAAACGGTCCCACCAACGGTCGTTTCAACAACGCGCAGCTTGGATTGATTTTTCTCAGCGGCCGTCATTGTGTGTGTGTGTGTGTGTGGTGCATGTTATTATGCACCATTAAAGGCTAAAATGGGGACTTGTGGTTAATAAAAGCAGCTGTGAAACCTCACTGCTGCACCTAAAATGACAGATTGAGAAGTTAGCCGTAAAAATGTGAGTGAGCTGGAAACTTTCCGTGTGGTTGTCACTTCTGAGCTATGAATGACAAACAAGGACCTCGCCTGCTGTTCGCTTCAACATTTGGAGACTTATGATGACTAAATATTTCCTTTCTGTGCCCATTCAGTCACACGAGTCAGCCTCTTTCTGTTTGATTTTATTTTTTTCTTTGAATTTATGAATCTTACAGTCTTGCGTTTCCCTGCAGGCATGTTCTTAGCTGACACTCTGTCTGGTCGTCTGCTGCTGTGACCCTTTATGTTCCCCTAAAAGGTCAAGGGGACGTGGGGAAAGTAACAAGTAGTGTCCGGGTTGAAAAAAGGAGACATGAAGGCAAAGTAGTTTAATTAAAGGTTTTTATGAAGATTTTTATTACTAATAAACTGAAAGTGATGGACAAACCGCTGTCTCCTATAAAAAAGAGGAAAAATAAGAAAATCACGAGTTGGTCATGAAACAGAAAAGGAGGTTAAAAAACGTTAAATCAATGTTACGTCCCCTGGCTAGTCTAGGGGTTGAAGGGACGAACATAAATGTGGATAGAGAAGGAGGAGCCAAGATGGTAATTTTAGAAGGTTTATTTAATACTGGTGATGGGATTTGGGTTCAGACTGAGGTGCAACGTCAGGGAGAGCCAAGGCCAACATAACAAACAAAACATCCCTGACGTAAAAATAAAAGAAACTTACCTAACTCCAAAGAAACAAAATATACAACCTATAACCATAACCTACCTAACAACACATAAACAGGAGAAAACAGGGTGTCAAAACAAAAGGCAGCTCTCCCCTACAAGCAGTCTGAACATGAAGAAAACAACAACGCTCATACAAGATACAAAGGCCTGCACAAGTATGCCAACCAAAATGGCCAGAGGCCCAGAAGCACAGCTCCACAGGCCTTAAATAGTGCTCTGCTGATTACCAATTAGCCAGACTCTGCGCAGCATCCAATCAGGACAGAGGAGGTGGAGCCTGGACAAAACAAAGGGTTAATAGGGAGAAGAGACGTCCTCCTGGGGGATGTAACACACACGCTCACCTCTCCACAGACCAGCAGAAAGAAGCCGCCACACACAGCACAGCTGGCACTACAGCTCTTCTTTCGCTGGCCTGAAGTACTCTCTGGGTATTTGCTGAGTACAGCCAGCTGTCCCAGAAAAGGTGACCCTCAAGGCTAGTGATGGGCAGATGAAGCCCCATGAAGCACTGAAGCTTTTCATCCAATTGGTTCACCCCAACGCGAAGCTTCATGAAGCTTCATTTGCTCTAGCAGGACACCTACTGGACGTAAAAATAATAGCTGGCATGAATTTGAAGAGTGTGGCATTTTGCACACAGCCTGTAAATGTCAACAACAAAAGGAGTGTGTAAAACATGTATATTGTAGTGATGCAGTATACTGTGTATATTTATAGTGGCAGTATGGGAAATGATTATTTGGAAATGCTTGAAATGGAAATGATCATTTACTGTGAGGTGAGGTGTGGTTGGGGTGTGGACAGTGTTGTGCTTTTGTAACATTGAGGTATGGACAGCTACGCACTGAGGCTTTGAGCCTCAGTCCTGCCTGTTCACATTTTATTCTGTAAAAACTAAATTTTCACTGCTTTTATGACATTTTTAGTGGGGAGAACATAGCTGGGATTTAATGATTTAACAAATCTTTTGAATCCTTTGTCCTCCACAATGCTAAATGGCTGGGAGTCCTCAATCACCATGCTACCAGGTCTTCATCTATTTGAGATTGTTCTCCTGAGGAAAGACAATAAAGACAAAGCACAAATATAAATATCACACACGTAACTTATAACAGTTGTATAATATTGTTATATCATTTAGTAACATTACTGCATCCTATATTATCATTGCATTTGATGGCTCACCTGGTCTTGCTCCACAATCAGTGTCCCCTTATTCTCATGCAAAGCTCTGTAGTGCCTAAGCATGGATGTTGTTGTTATATCCCAGCTCCCTGGCACATAGCAAACACTTCACCTTGTACAAAAGTCAAGACAGCTCAACATAAATTGTATTGCACCATCAGTATCATGAAAATACATCTTCTGTAGAAATTTACATACCTTGTTGGGAGGAATAAGATCAAAATGTTCCCACACAGGGGAGGACATCCTCCTCTTCTTAGCTGGCTCCATTCTCTCCTGACTTTCTCTCCTCACTCTCATAAACCTCCAAACGGTCTCCAAACTCTCACTAACCGCAACTCTCCATCAAACACCCACATTTTGAATGAAGTCTGAAGGGTTTATATCTGTCATAGCTCGCGGCAAAGTTCGAACATGTTACATGTTTCATTTTCATCGTACACTGAAAACATTGAGCTACATCAAAAAGTCGGCTCCATCTGCTGGCAGGCTGAGGTCTTTTCAGGTGTGCAGGACATTACTGAGGAGCGCTGTGGTGGTTTCTGTAGGCTTTTATGTGGCTGTCTGCCACGGAGGAGCAGGAAGTGGCTTATAGTTAATGAGGGTCAGCTCTGTCCTGGACAGAGGAGGTGAGTGAGAGGAGGATGTTAGCCAAGCTAATGTCCATTATGGACAGCACCTCTCACCCCCTGGATGGGACCGTGGAGGTCCTGAGCCGCTCCTGCAGGAGTGACTGCTCAGCTCCTTCATCCCAGCAGCAGTCAGGCTGAGCATTATGCACACAGGAGGTATCATTTTTACTCCCACACTTTATATGAATTTTGTCATATCCATTTTTCCTCAGTACAAACCACTCTTTTGTACACACTATTTATTTCTAATATGTCTCTTATTCACTTTTCTCCATTAAAATGAACGTTTTACACTTTAGTTCTGGGGAAAAATTACGTCAAATCGTGAAGTCAGTATTTTAGGCATAAATCTTTTATTTTGTACCTCCCACCCCGTTAATGGCTCAGTCTAAATCCAGGCGCCACGTGACACCGCTCCGTTACTCAGACCTGACTCTCCTGCCAGCACGTGGGGGTTTCTGGAAGGGAAGAAACCATCGCATAAACCACTGTTGCCATAACAACGGCTCTATACCTCTCCCTCCTCCTCTTCGTTCTCCATCCCTCTGCTGCTGCAATGCATAATACCCTCCTCCTCCTCCTCCTCCATGCACCTCCCCCCCAGCCTTCACCCATCCCAAAGACTGATTAGCGCGGCATCCTTGCGCTGACACGTAATTCCTGAAGCTCTGTGTGTGCGTTTGTGTGTTCTCACTCAGGAATGTGAAGCTCTGCTCGTTCTTAAAGGTCGAAAAGAAGATTTTCTCCCCTTGTGTGATCTTGAAATCTCTCCGATGTGGGAGAGAAACCATCTCTAACCTGTCAGTAGAAGGAGGCGCTTCGAGGAACTCAGGACGGAGCGCAGGATTTCTCCTCCAGAGGAGGATTCTTTTTACAGGTAAACGGGACTACGTTTGTTTCACAGGGAGAACAGACGGCCAGGAGGGCGCTGACGGTTTGGGTTCGACAGATTCGCGCTGTGAGACCGGAGGTGAGTTTAAAGACGGCTGCACTGCTGGAACGCACAGCGGGAATCGCGCACTTTTCCCAGAGACGCGCGGGATCACCGCCCGGTGCGTGCCACCTGTGAGCTCATGCGCAGACAGCAGCCAAACCACGCATATGTGCGCGCACAGCGGGTGATTTCATAAGAGGGAAAACACAAGACTCTTCCCCGAAAGGTTCTGCAGCAGCAATAACTCTGAGAGACGCAATACTGAGTCTTCCAAAGCCAAAGAGAGGCGCACGCTTCCCACTGCTTCCATTTGGCCCAGCCGAGCTCCGCTCCTCCGTTTTTAAACTCAGGTTGCCCACGAGGACAAAGTCAGCTCGGTGTTTCTTGTGGATTCATGAATGCAACATTTTGACTGGCTCTCGAGCTGCGCAGTCATCACCAGCTCTCACAAACTTCTTCCATTTCCAGCACTGTTTCCATCATCCCCCACCAGCTGAGCTTCAAACACCGGGTTCCATTGGCTCTTACATTGTGTGGTGCGCGCAGTGTCAATAAGGAGACCTGAGGGTGTGCCACGGAACATAAATAGTTGAACAAAGAGGCCGAAACCTGAGACCTGGTCTGATTCTTCCCTCTGGTAACTCTAGATGCTCAAACACTGAGAGGCGCACGAACAAACTGCTGCTGATGTGAGCTTTTTCCTGTTGTTGAGCAAGGAGCAGAGCAAGAGGAGGACCCACCCACACCGCCCACCCCTCAGATAAACAGGAGGCGACTTTTAGTCACAGTTGAGACGTCTTTGGTGTGTTTATGCTCTGAGGGTTTCCAGATCTGTCCTGTCTGTGTATGTGTGTGTGTCTGTGTGTGCACTGTTGAGAGACGCCACCACCCCTCTGTCCTCTGTCAGGATGTCCGCGGTGATGGAGCTGCTGCTGCTGCTGCCTCTGGTCCTCCTGGCACTTGAAGGTGAGTGGTGACCTCGCCTCGATGGTTTCTGTTGAGGTGTTTTCCGTTCTCTGTGTGCGTCCGACTGTTTGTTGTTCCACCGTAGAGCCAAACGCCCAGCTGTTCAAAATTTGAAATGAGATGAGGCCATGTGGCGGCTTTAAAATGCCGAGCGCAAACGCACTCACACATACCGACGCAGCATCTGGTGTGTATCTTAAAAGTCAGGAACAATGTGTGCCTGTGTTCACAGAGTGGAGACTCCATTAATGACTGCTTTTCATTATTTATTAACATACCCATTGTTTGGTTAATCGTTGTGAAACAGATGTCGTCCAGTTTTATGTCGATAAACAGACCGAAGCTACAAACAGGCTGGAGAAGCTGGAGTCAGCGAGGATAACGTAAACAATTAAATGATCGATTAACTGGCAAAGATGAGTAACAGTGATGAGCTCCTGCAGAGCTGCCTGCTCTCTGAAGTTGAAGATTGTTTTTTTTATTCGTACGGAAACCAGGTTCAAAACTGGACTTGATCCTTTTGTTTGGTTTTAAGGTGCAAGGGTCCCGGGACAAAGATCAAAGTTGTGTTCAAGACATAGCTTTTCTGTCCTTCTTGGAATTTTTAGTTAGAGGAATTGTTTTGGGTGCTTCTTTTAAGGACTCGGAACAAAAAGCAAACCAAACATCAAAAGCTCAGGAAAAGATGAACCAAATCAAACTAGAACTGATGTCTTTCCTTTTGCATGCAGCACATAATGAGACAGAATTCACACAAAGATAAATGTTGATGGCACAAACACGGCAGGCTCGGTACCATTAGTCTGCGTGGGTGGAGTGAGTGTTGTGTCCAAATCATCTTCTAACCAGATAAGTTGTCAATCAAATCTTGTATCACATCGAACAAAGACGTGTGTTTGCTCTGTAACCAACAGTCTGACTGGTTACTGTTGAAACAACAACATCTGTCCATCTTTTGTGCAGTTTTTGCTGTTGAAACATGACGAGGGGGATAACCTCATGGCGTCTGCCATGTTTGCTAGCATCTGCACCAATTTAGAGTCACCAGGTAACCTAACATGTCAGGTACGAGGTGCACAAAGAACAAAGACCTCAGGAAGGTTCAAACTCAGAACCTTGCTGTCACTCGATGAAGCATCGAGCCAGCGATGGACAAACCAGCATGTTTCTATGTTTTGCAGTTAAACAGTTAATCATTCAAACCTAAGACTAAAATTTACATTCTACCCAATTTTAAATATGAACCTTTGTACCGTTTTTGCCCTCCAAAACAAAAACATGTTTAGCCCTATGATACACGTATGTGTAGATTCTGCCCACAGAGAGAGAAATGGACTATCACCGTCCCCTGTTTTGCTGATGGAGTCCATCATTCATGCTTTTGTACACGCACTCTAAGACAGCTCAGCCTGCCAGCATCACGCTGCGTGCAGGTGTGTGATTTGAGGGGTTTTTGAAGTGGAGCACTCGGGTGAAAACCATCATCCTTTGACTCGAACCAGCTCCCTCTGCTCCTTTTGGATCCTTTCAGATATCACGACTCACTTTCTTACCTTCACAGGAATCCGGTTACCGACATTTATTTAATTAAAGCACGAGAAACACCTTCCACTGATGTGCGAAAACAGCCTGAACCTCGCTATCCATCACATTTTAATTACTGCCAGTCTCATGAAACCTGCAGGCGTTTAAAAATGTTTCTAAATGTAAAGCCATCGATTCATATATATAAACACAACAGTATGCAATTGAAATCAGTATTGACCATAAAAACAAAACATGCCTAACCAAGAGTGTTCTTTGATGAATTTCTTCAGAAACCTCTATTTACTGAGCTCTTATCTCCATCAGCCAGCTGCTCTTTAACTCACACTCAGTCTCTCAGAACACTGCTGCACGTGGACGCGTTAACACGGCTTCATCCGCCCAAAGGTGAACACATGTCAGAGCTGCAGGAAAGCGATCTGGGCAAAGTACTAAGGTTACACAACGTCTGTCAGCGGGCTGGGCGGGTTGGTTGTGGGCCGGTGGGTTAGTTAAAGGTTAAGAGTCAGCTTCTACATCTGGAGCTGGAGACAGGGAAGATAGAAGGCGAAGCACCACACTGGATGGAAACTAACAAAGAGGAACAGAAGAGAGTATGAGATTATGAGCTTTTTGAGAATTTTTAACCACCCCAAACAAAAACACATTTTATTTGATGTTTTTAAATCCACCCAAAAACTGACTTTAGCTCACAGAAAAAAGGTACCCTGTATCTGATGACAAAATAATGATTAAAAAATGGCTTCAGTATTTATGTAATATTTCTTTGTTTTGAAAAGAAACCTGCTTGATATTTCACACGTATTTTGATTTTTATTTACAGATTTTAAGATTTACATCTTTATTTATCTTTATATTTATTTTTATATAATTTTCAGTGTTAGTGCAGACAGTGGTTGGGTTTCATATAATCGTCTTAGAAAAAGGCCGACTGTGAGCAAAGTTGGTGCTGTAATTGTTCCAAACTGAATGGTACTGACCTAATACTGTTACAAGAAAAACGACATAACTCAAAGAAGAGGTGTCCCTCAAGGTGCCGTACTTGGTCCTCTGAATTTTTTTTTGTTGATTTCTTTTTTTTGATAGGATAAAAATTGTGAGAGACTTCTTTGTTTCTTTTGTGCTGTCATGTTTATATTGTTACGATGGTGCTCATATTTAAGTTTCAAATAACAAGGTCAGTGTATGAAACATACATAAACGTGCTGTGACTTGACTTTTTTTACTCCTGGGTCTGTGCGATATCATAGAGCCCTGATATCCTGACATCAGACACAGATGCCCCGCCCACCTGCTGTGGGACAGCCAGTCAGGTGACAGTTGGCTTAAATGGGAGCTTGTTTTACGAACATAATAAACTGAATAACGAACTTATTTTGAACTGTGAATCATGCAAAGCTGCCCGTGGAGTGCAGATCTGGGAATGAGGAGAATTGTTTCTGTTTGTCACAACCACGATCTTCTCTGTTGGTAAAAAGTCGAATGTTTGTCACATCGTTCATTTCAGATTGTGGGAAAAAAACAATTGATCTGATAACAAGCTTCGGTTTTTAAAAAGCCACGACAATCATTTGACAGCACTGTGTGAGATTCCAAGCCTGACCCGAACCGTATTAATGCTCTGCGTCCAAAGTTGTAACATGGCAGAGTCCTTTAGTCTGCGAATGGCTTGAATTCCGCGATGTTTCAATAACGGCTCCATCGCCATTACATCAGTTCACTCCATCCTCTGCATCACTAAGGACGATTACGTTACAGAGGAGCTTTGCCAGATAAGCTAATTATGAGTACTCTAGAGCTGCAGTGCACTAAACCTTTAAAAAGCAGCTAACATGATTTATGGCTGGCAGTTTTCCAAGCATCTGTGTCAGGTGAGAAAATCTAAAAATAATCACCGTCTGTCCTCTTCACAAACCATTCTTCCTCTGCGTGTGCACTTTCAGCCCACGATGAAACTACAAAGTTTTTCAGCCCTTTCTTAAGAGGAATTAAATGCGTGGCACTGAAAGCTCAGAGATGCTTGGATCTTTTTTTTGGCCTCACATCCTTTCTAGATCCTTTCTAACCCATGAATCTGGAACGAGAGACTGTGCCACGACCTAATTGCGGGCTTCGTGTGTCCCTCTCGATAGTGTCACAAACACGTGACAGGCAGACGCATGCACACCTGAGCCTCTGTTCATCCAGCTGTGTGGAGGTTTGTAATCCCGGTGAGATGCTGTTGCTGCTTTGAAGGGGAGGCTTTGATGGGCTCTGAAGGACGAGGTGACCTTCCACGCAGCTTGGAGAGTAAAAACAATCACTGGGAACAGATTTGATCCAATAACATCTTCGATAATATTGAAGGGAAAGTATTTTGGTTTAGCTTACAGGAAAAAAATGAAAACCTGTTGTAGACGTAATTACAGCTGAAGTGAAATCAAAGGATTTCTCTCCCTGGAGATGTTTTACAGCAGATATTAAAGCACAAATGTAACTCCCTGGATGTACTGTGTGCAGTGTTGGGGAGTAACAGAATACATGTACCGCCGTTACGTATTTAAAATATAAAATATGAGTAACTGTATTCCGTTAGTTACCGTTTAAAAAGGTTGTATTCAGAATACAGTTACTTTGTTGAAATAAATGGATTACACAGCGGTTTTTCCTGTTTCATATGTTCAGCTATGCCCTCTCTATTTTTGGTAATTCCAAGCCGGTGGAAACCCAAACAAAACACACATTAAGAGGGTCTAAAGCGGCCCATGTCACCCCTACTTGCGGCCCGTGGGTGAAGAAATATTTTTAAAAATTATTCAAAAAATATTTAATATGAAGGCAACAGGCAGAGTGTTACAGGCATCGCTCTAAAGAATGTAGCCTGATGGGCAGTGTAGTCCGTGCTGCAGGGAGCATGGACTGCTGTTATGTGTCTGTGAGCGAGGGAGGGAGAAAAAGGAAAAGTACGAGCTGTCGCCGAGCAGAAACGGGAGCTGGAAGCATGTAAATATAATAATAACCACTGCAGCCAAGAAGAGAGCCTGACGAGCCCAGCTGTAAGTAAGCTGTTAAGACTCGACTGTACCCTGTGTTCCTGTTTTCCTCCGAAACAATAACTTCCGTTGGAGCAGCCTTTCAAGTAAAGCTAGTTTTCAGCTATGAGCCCGACACGAACCCGACGTATTATTCAGTAGGGCTGCCACGATTAGTCGACTAGTCACGATTACGTCGACTATCAAAATCGTCGACGACTGATTTAATAGTCGACGCGTCGTTTGAAGCTTTGTAAGATCACAAAAGACGCAGGAATAAGTAGCAGGATTTAAGAGTGTAATAACGGACTGAAACAGAAGATGGCAGCACTGCATGTACAAGGATGCCAGCTGCCGTTAAACGCCGAAGAAGAAGTAGCTCTGTCCCAGAATTCATAGCGCAGCCCAGCTCAGTTTCCAACAATGGCGGCAGCTAGTTAGTTT